CTATGAGTCAAAATTTTATTTAGATATTTATTCTTTGCAATTATATATTCATATATATTATATGTTCATAATATATATGGAATCCCTCTGTTTTTCTTTCCATTGTAGTGTCCATCTCATCTTATAAAACCTCCATCCTTGCTGATAGCATCATTTCTACATTTATGGTTTTTGTTGCTTTATTTTGTTTTGAAGACCCAGTGAGTTCAATCAGGATCCATGGAATTGGAACTACCTGCTAAAGCCTGGTAGGTTCCTCCATGTATACAACTGAAGGCAATATTGCCTCTTTCACAGAATCTTTTAGTAAACAATATTTCATCGAAGCAGATTAGAGACCTATACACTGATCTCTGAACAGTGATTGATTGTTGGTAGCTACAGTCTTAGCAGACAACCAAAGCTTCACTGAAGTCATGATTGCTTTGACTGTGCCATGCCTGGAGGACAGAATTTCAAAGATTTTCTCCTTGTCTTCTGGTTCTTACATTCCTTCCATTCCCCTTTTTTGAGATATTTTCTAGCATTAGATGGTGCAATATAAATGTGTTGGTTAGAGTTAAACACTCAAATACTACTTACTCTCAGCATCTTGAGTACCTAGGTGTTTCTGTATTTACTATCATTGACTTCAAAGAGAGGGATGACTTTTGAAGCTGAGAAAAACATTTGTATAAAGATAAAAACATAAATATCAGAATGCATCTTTGTTCCATGACAATTTAACTAAACACTTGCTTTGAAGTTGACTCACCCATAGGCCATGCCTGCCACAAAACTAGGTAGGCTGCCTGCAAATCTTTCCTTCTTACTCTGTTCCCTCAAATCAGCTCACCATTCTCTTCCCCATCTCAGCAGCAAAATACTTGTGGTGGCCTTTCCTGAGCCCCTCTCCCCATTTCCTGTGGATCCCACAGATCTTTCCCTTCTAGCCTCTCTCCCTTTACTCAGAAGTAGGCATACTTAAGGAATACACCAGCTGAGCAGTTCATGGAAACAGATCCACATGAAATTTTATATTAGGCAGCACATACTAAAAACATAGAAACATGGAACAAAATGCTCACCCAACAGAGATAAAGACAAATATGATCACTAAGACCCCCCCCCAAAAAACATCCAAATATCAGATACTTAGACATCACCATAAAAACACAACCTATAACACCCGAGACAATAAGTCTCCACTGGTGCCCACCAACCCTACCAAAGCAAGCACTGAATATTCCAACATAGGTGAAGCCCAAGAAAAAGACCTAAAAACAGCCTGTGTGAAGATGATAGGGGCCCTTCAAGAAGAACTGAATAAATGCCTTAAAGAAATCCAGGAAAATACAAACAGTGTGGGATAATGATTAATCCATTAAAGAAATTCAGGAAAACACACACAAATAGTGCAAGAAAATGAATAAAACTATTCAAAAATCTAAAAATAAAAGTAAAATTGATGAAAATAACCCAAATTGAGGGAATACTAGAATTGAAAAATTTGGGAATTCAAACAGGAACTACAGAGACAAGTTTCACCAACAGAATACAAAAGATGGAAGAAAGAATCTCAGGCACTTAACATATAATAGAAAAAATAGTAAATTGGTCAAATGAAATTTTAAATCAAAAAAATTTCCTGACATAAAAAAATCCATGAAATCTGGAACACTATGAGACAAAATGAAAGGAGTGCTAAAAGGCAATTCATAGCACTAAGTGCCTGCATAAAAAATAACTGAAAAGATGTCATACTAATAATTAAATAGTATACCCAAAGGCTCTAGAACAAAGGAAGAAAGAAAGAAGAAAGAAAGAAAGAAAGAGAGAGAGAGGGAGGGAGGGAGGGAGGGAAGGAGGGAGGGAGGGAGGGAGGGAGGAAGGAAGGAAGGAAGGAAGGGAAGGAAGGAAGAAAGAAAGAAAGGAAGGAAGGAAGAAAAGAGGGAAAAAAGAAAGAAATCATATCCAAAAAGATAGATGGCAAGAAATATTCAAACTCAGGGCTGAAATAAATAAAATAGAAATAAATAGAACAGTAAAGTGAAAACATCAAACAGAGTTGGCTCTTTGAGAAAATCAACAAGCTAGACAAAATCTTATCCAAATTAACTAAAAGGTGGGTAGAAAACATCCAACTTAAAAAATCAGAAATGCCCCCCCCCCCAGCGCAAAGAAAATAGCTCCCTTTGACAGTAGTGAAAATCACAGACATAAGCCCACCCTGCACAGATTGGGAAAAGTTAAGGCCCCATCTCCAGACTGGGCAGTCCAGATCCCTATCCTCTAGGCCCTAAGGGTGTCTTCTGTGTTACTCAACCAAGCCATTGGAGCCCCAGTGACTGGCTAGCTGCCCCTTCTCCTGCCACCTCACCAAGAAGACAGCCCCCCTGTGACACCAAGGAAAACGGAACACGTAAACCTATCCTGCACTGATTGGGAACAGAAAACAGGTCCTACCCTGCACCAATTGGGAATAGATGCTCCCTGAGACAGAGCCCATTGGTGCCCATTGGACTAAGATCTGCACCGAGACACAGAACTTATTAGCACTGATTGCACCAAGAGCCTGGATTAGACCAAGTGCTCCCATTAGACCAAGAGTATCAATTGGACCAAAAGAGGCTCCCTCAGATACAGACAGCACTTACACAGAGTGGAGGAAGAGATGGATACAAGCCGGTCCAAAAATACAGTAAAAAACACAAAGACCAATATGGCACCACCAGAAGCTAGTGTTGCCACACCAGAAAGACCTGAACATCCCAAAGCAGAAGAAGCAGAAGAAATAGACCTTAAAAAATGACTTGAAGAAGACAAAAGAAGCCTTTAATGAGGGAATGAAAGCTACCCTTAAAGAATTTGAAGAAAAGACAAACAAAAAATTGGAAGAAGTCAATAAATTTCTTTAAAAGAAAGAGCAATTAAACAGATGAATGAAAAAGTCCCAGATTTGAAAACTGAAATAGAGGCAATAAAGAAGACACAAACTGAGGGAAGGCTGGAAATGGAAAATTTGAATAAATGAACAGTAACTACAGATGCAAGCATAACCAACAGAATACAAGAGATAGAAGAGAGAATCTTTGGTGTTGAAGATATGATACAGGAAATAGATTCATCAGTCAAAGAAAACACTAAAGCCAACAAAGTCATAACAAAATGTCTAGGAAATTTGGAACACCATGAAAACTCTAAACCTAAAAATAATAGGGATAGAAGAAGGAGAATACCAACTCAAAGGCACAGAAAATATATTCAACAAAATCATAGAAGAAAACTTTCCCTTAAAGAAGGAAATGCCTATGAAGGTACAAGAAGATTACAGAACACCAAATAGACCCTCACCACATAATAATCAAACCACTAAACATACAGAATAAAGAAAAATATTAAGAACTGCAAAGGAAAAGGGCCAACTAACATATAAAGGCAGACCTATAAGAATAACACCTGGTTTCTCAATGGAGACTCTAAAAGCCAGAAGGTCCCAGACAGACTTTATGCATAAACTAAGAGACCATGGATGCCAACCCAGACTATTATATATATATATATATATATATATATATATATATATATATATATATAATATAAAACCCTCCATCACCATAGATGGAGTAAACAAAATATTTCATGATAAAACCAGATTTAAACAATACCTATCCACAAATCCAGCCCTACGGAAAGCACTAGAAGGAAAATTCCAACCTAAGAAAGTTAGATACACCCATGAGAACACAGACAACAAACACAAAAGAAGGCTAACATACAACACTACCACCAAAAATATAACAGGAATTAACAATCACTGGTCATTAATATACATGGTCTCAATTCTCCTATAAAAAGACACAGGCTCACAGAATGCATATGAAAAGAAGATCCATCCTTCTGCTGCATACAAGAAACACATCTCAACTTCAAAGATAGACACTAACTTAGAGTAAAAGGCCAGAAAAAGACTTTCCAATCAAATGGACTTAAAAAGCAAGCTGGTGTAGCTATCCTAATATCTAATAAAATAGACTTCAAACTAAAATATATCAAAAGAGATTGGGAAGGACATTACATACTTATCACAGGGAAAATCCACAAAGATGTAGTCTCAATTATGAACACTTATGCTCCAAATACAAGGACATCCACATTTGTGAAAGAAACTTTACTAAAGCTTAAATCTCACATCAAACCACACACACTAGTAGTGGGCGGTTTCAACACCCCACTCTCACCACTGGATAGATCTGCCAGAAAGAAACTTAATAGAGAAGTAAGGGACCTAAGAGAAGTTTTGACTCAAATGGACTTAATAGATATTTACAGAACATTCCCCCCAGGTAAAAAATAATGTATCTTCTTCTCAGCACCCCATGGAACCTTCTCTAAAATTGACCACATCCTCGGTGACAAAGCAAATCTCAACAGATACAAAAAAATTGGAATATCTTCCTTTATTTTATTGTACCTCCATGACTTAAAGTAAGATTTCAACAACAACAAAATTTATAGAAAGCCTACAATCTCATAGAAACTGAACAATGCCCAAATGATTCACTAATGGTTCAAGGAAGAAATAAAGAAAGCAATTAAAAATTTCCTAGAATTCAATGAAAATGAAAATACAACATACCCAAACTTATGGGACACTACGAGAGCAGTGCTAAGAGAAAAATTTATCACACTAAATGCCCACATAAAGAAGTTGGAGAATTCTTACACTAGTGACTTAACAGTACACCTGAAAGCTCTGGAACAAGAAGAAGCAAAGTCTCCCAGGAAGAATAGACACCAGGAAATTATCAAATTAAGTGCTGAAATCAATAAAATAGATACAAAGAGAACAATAGAAAGAATTAATAAAACAAAGAGTTGGTTTTTTGAAAAAATAAAGAAGACAGACAAAGCCTTATCCAAATTAGCCAAAAGGCAGAGAGAGGGCATCCAAATCAACAAAATTAAAAATGAAAAGAGAGACATAACAACAGACAATGAGGAAATCCAGAAAATCATCAGGTTATACTTCCAAAACCTGTACTCCACAAAATTAGAAAATCTGAAAGAAATGGATAATTTTCTGGATAGGTACCACATTTCTAAGCTAAATCAAGACCAGATAAACTATTTAAATAGGCCAATAATACCTAAGGAAATAGTCATTATAAGTCTCCCAACCAAAAAAAAAAAATCCAGGATCAGATGGTTTCAGAGCAGAATTCTACCAGATCTTCAGTGAAGAGTTAATACCAATACTCTTCAAATTGTTCCACACAATAGAAATGGAAGGAACATTACCAAAATCTTTTTATGAGGCTACATTTACCCTGATAGTCAAACCACACAAAGATGCAACAAAGAAAGAGAATTACAGATGAATCTCTCTCATGAACATTAATGAAAAAATACTCAATAAAATATTCGCAAACCAAATCCAAGAACACATCAAAAAATTATCCACCATGATTAAGTAGGTTTCTTCCCAGTAATGCAAGGATGGTTCAAAAATACAAAAATCTGTCAATGTAATCCATCATATAAACAAACTGAAAGAAAAAAAAACACATGATCATCTCATTAGATATTGAAAAAGTCTTTGACAAAATCCAACACCCCTTCATGATAAAGGCCCTAGAGAGATCAGGAGTACAAGGAACATACCTAAACATAATACAGGCAATTGACAGCAAGCCAACAGCTAACATCAAATTTAATGGAGAGAAACTCAGTGATTCCACTAAAATCAGGAACAAAACAAAGCTGACAATCTCACACTATTTATTTAATATAGCACTTGAAGTTCTATCTAGAGCAATAAAACAACAAAAGTAGATCAAAAGGATACAAATTAGAAAGGAAAAAGTCAAACTTTCACTATTTGCAGATGACATGATAGTGTACATAAGTGACATGAAAAATTCTGCCAGGGAACTCTCATAGCTGATAAACTCCTTCAGTAATGTGGCAGGATACATTAACTAAAAAAAATCAGTAGCCCTTTTATATACAAATGATAAATGGGCTGAGGAAGAAATCAGAGAAACATCACCCTTTGTAATAGCTACAAATAATATAAAATACCTTGGAGTAACTCTAACTAAGCAAGTGAATGTAACTTGCCTGGCCAACAGTCAGGTCAAATTTCTGTCACCACAAAATTCTGTCACCCCCGTCCCACAGCTACTAAGACTCAACCAAGTAAACACAGAGACTTACATTGCTTACAAACTGTATGGCTGTAGCAGGCTTTTTGCTAACTGTTCTTATATCTTAAATTAATCCATTTCTATAAATCTATACCTTGCCACATGGCTTGTGGCTTACCGGCATCGTTACATGCTGATTGTCATGGCAGCGGCAGGCAGTGTCTCTCTCTGCCTTCCTGTTTTTTCCATTCTCCTCTCAGTTAATCCCGCATATACTTCTTGCTTGGCTACTGTGTTTTATTTATTGACCAATCAGAGTAACACATTTGACATACAGACCATCCCACAGCAAGTGAAAAACCTGTATGACAAGAACTTTAAGTCTCTGAAGAAAGAAATTAAAGAAGATATCCGAAAATGGAAAGATCTCCCATGCTCATGGATAGGTAGGATTAACTTAGTAAAAATGGCAATATTACAAGAAGCAATCTACATATTCAATGCAATCCCAGCAAAATACCAACACAATTCTTCACAGACCTGGAATAAATAATACTCAACTTCATATAGAAAGTCAAAAAACCCAGGATAGCTAAAAGAATCTTGTACAATAATACAACCTCTGGAGGCATCACTATCCCTAACTTCAAGTTCTAACATAGAGATACAGTAATAAAAACAGTTTGGTACTGGTATAAAAACTGACATGTGGACCAATGGAACCAAATTGAAGACACTGACATTAATCCACACACCTATGAACACTTAAATTTTGACAAAGAAGCCAAAACTGTACCATAGAAAAAAGAAAGCATCTTCAACAAATGGTGCTGGCATAACTGGATGTCAATAGGTAGAAGATTGCAAATAGATCCATATCTGTCACTGTGCATAAAACTTAAGTCCAAGTAGATCAATGACCTCAACATAAATCCAGTTATTCTGAACCTGATAGAAAAGAAAGTAGGAAGTAGTCTTGAATGCATTAGCACTGGAGATCACTTTCTAAATATAACACTAGTAACACAGACACTTAGAGCAATTAATAAATGGGACCTCCTGAAACTGAGAAGTTTTTGTAGAGCAAAGGACATGGTCAATGAGACAAAACTAAAACCTACAGAATGGGAAAATATCTTCACTTCCTAAATATAACACCAGTAGCACAGACACTGAGAGAAACAATCAATCAATGGGACCTCTTGAACCTGAGTTTTTGTAGAGCAAAGGATACAATTAACAAGACAAAGCGACAACCTACAGAATGGGAAAAGATCTTCACCAACCCCACATCTGACAAAGGACTGATATCCAGAATATATAAGGAACTCAAGAAATTAGACATCAAAATGCCCGAGTCCAATTAAGAAATGGGCTATAGAACTAAACAGAGAATTCTCAACAGAGGAAACTCAAATGGCTGAAAGATATTTAAGGAATTGCTCAACATCCCTAATTATCAGGGAAATGCAAATCAAAACAACTCTGAGATACCACCTTACGCCTGTCAGAATAGCTAAGATCAAAAACACTGAAGACGCCTTATGTTGAAGAGGATGTGGAGCTAGGGGAACTCTCCTCCACTGCTGGTGGGAATGTAAGCTTGTACAACCACTTTGGAAATCAATATGGCGCTTTCTTAGAAAATTGGGAATCAACCTCCCTCAAGATCCAGCTATACCACTCTTGGGAATATACCCAAGCAATGCTCAATCATACCACAAGAACACATGCTCAACTACGTTCATAGCAGCATTATTTGTAATAGCCAGAACCTGGAAACAGCCTAGGTGCCCTTCAACTGAAGAATGGATAAATAAAATGTGGTACATATAAACAATGGAATATTACTCAGCAGAGAAAAACAATGACATCATGAGGTTTGCAGGCAAATGGATGGATCTAGAAAAAAATCATCTCGAGTGAGATAACCCAGACTCAGAAAGGCAAACATGGTATGTACTCACCCATAGGAGGATACTACATGTGGAACAAGGATGACTGGACTGCGACTCACATCACCAGGGAGACTACATGGAAAACAGGACCCCAAGAAAGATATGGCGATCGCCCACTGACGGAGAAATGGATGAGATCTACATGAACAGCCTGGGCATGAGTGGGGGTAATGAAGGGCAAGGGTTGAGGGAAACAGAGCATTGGGGACCGAAAGACCCCAGCTGGATAAAGAACAGCGAGGGAGAACAAGAAATAGGAGACCATGGTAAATGAAGACCACATGAGAATAGGAAGAAGCAAAGTGCTAGAAAGGCCCACAGAAATCCACAAAGATACCCCCACAAAAGACTGCTGACAATGGTCGAGAGACAGCCCAAAATGACCTACTCTGGTGATAGGATAGCCAAACACCCTAATTGTCATGCTAGAAACCCTATCCAATGACTGAGGGAAATGGATGCAGAGATCCACAGCTAGGCCCCAGGTGGAGCTCTGGGAGTCCAATTAGCAAGAAAGAGGAGGATTTGTATGAGCGAGAATTGTTGAGACCAAGGTTGGATAAAGCACAGGGACAAATAGCCAAATGAATGGAAACACATGAACTATGAACCAAAGGCTAAGGGGCCCCCAACTGGACCAGGGCCTCTGAATAGGTGAGACAGTTGATCGGCTTGAACTGTTTGGGAGGCATCCAGGCAGTGGAACCGGGACCTGTCCTCAGTGCATGAGTTGGCTGTTTGGAACCTGGGGCTTATGCAGGGACACTAGGCTCAGGCTGGGAGGAGGGGACTGGACCTTCCTAGACTGAGACTACCAGGTTGATCTCAATCCTCGGGGGAGGCTTTGCCCTGGAGGAGGTGGGAATGGCTGGTGGGCTGGGGGGAAGGGGAGGAGGGCAGGAGGGGAGAGAACAAAGGAATCCATGGCTGATATGTAGAACTAAATTATATTTTGAAATAAAATAAAACTAAATTATATTTTGAAATAAAATAAAATAAAATTATATTTTGAAATAAAATAAAATAAAATAAAAAAAGAAGGAGTATTGCCTACTTCATTCTAAAAGGCCAAAGTTAATCATGGTATCCAAATCACACATAGACCCAACAAAAAATAAAATTATTGACTAATTTCACTTTTGAACATATATACAAAATCCTCAATAAAATACTTCCAAACATAATCCAAGAATACATAAAGAAATCATCCACCAAGAGAGTACCAGAAATGCAAGGGTTGTTAATTATACTAAAATCAATAAATGTAATCCACCGTATAGACAAACTGAAAGAAAACAGCACATGATATTCTCATTAGATGAAGAAAATAGCCTTTGACAAAATCCATCAATCCTTCATGATAAAAGTACTAGAAAGATTAGAGATACTAGGGACATGCCTAAACATAATAAAAGCAATTTACCACAACCAGATAGCCAAAATTAACTTAAATAGAGAGAAACTCAATGAAATTCCACTAAAATCAGGGAAATTCCACAAAAATTGGGGACAAGAAATAGCTATCCACTCTTTCCATAGCTATCCAATGTAGTACTTGAAGTCATAGCTAGAGCAATAAGGTTCCTTAAGGAGAAGGGGATACACATTATGATGGAAAAAATCAAAGTATTGTTATTTAAAAATGATGTGATAGTATATATAGTGACTCTGAAAATGTACTGTGGAACCCCCACAACTAATAAACACTTCCAGGAAAGTAGCTGTATACCAAATTAACTGACAAAAATCAGTGGTCCTCCAATATACAAATGACAAACAGACTGAGAAAGGAACCATGGAAACAATACCTTTCACAATAGCTTCCAATAATATAAAATATCTTGGGGTATCTCTAAGCAAATGGAAAGGCTTGTATCATAAAAAATTCAAGTCTTTGAAGAAAAAAATAAATAAGATATGACAAGATGGAAAGATCTCTCATTCTCATGTACCACAATGATTACCATAGTAAAATGACCATCCTACCATCCTACAGATTTATAATTCCCACATAAATCTTTGCAGACCTTGAAAGGACAATTCTCAAATTCATATGATATTCCAAAAAGTTTTATGTTAACTTGAACACACTAAAGTCAGATGACAGGAGGAAACCCCAATTGAGAAAATGCCTTCACTCTAGTATAGAGCTATAGTAATAAAAACAGCTTGGTATTGGCATAAAAACTGACATGTAGACAAATGGAATCAAATTGAAGAACCTGACATTAATTTGCACACCTATGAACACTTGATTTTTGACAAAGAAGCCAAAACTATACAATGGAAAGAGAAAGTATCTTCAACAAATGGTGCTGACATAACTGGATGTCAACATGTAGAACATTGCAAATATATCCATATCTATTGTCATGCATAAAACCCAAGTATAAATGGATCAGAGACCTCAACATGAATCCAGTTACACTGAACCTGATAGAAGAGAAAGTACAAAAAAAGTACCAAGTGGCCTTGAATGCATCTGCACAAGAAATCACTTCCTAAATAAAACAGCAGTAGCATAGACACTGAAATTAGCAATTGATAATTGGGACCTCCTGAAACTGAGAAGCTTCTGTAAGGCAAAGGACATGGTAAATTAGACAAAACAACAGCCTACAGAATGAGAAAAGATCTTCACCACGCTCACATTTGACAGGGCTGATCTCCAAAATACATAAAGAACTCAAGAAACTAGACGTCAAAATACCAAACAATACAATTTAAAAAATGAGCTATAGAGCTAAACACAGAATTCTCAACAGAAGAATCTCAAATGGCCAAAAGACATTTAAAGAATTGCTCAATATCCTTAGTTATCTGGGAAATGCCAATCAAAATGACTCTGAGATATCATTTTACACTTGTCAGATTGGCTGTGATCAGAAACACTGATGACACCTTACACTGGAGAGGATGTGGAGCACAGGGAACACTCCTCCACTGTTAGTGAGAGTGCAAACTTGTACATACACTTTGGAAATCAGTATGGTGGTTTCTCAGAAAAATGAAAATCAATCTATCTCAAGAACCAATGATTCCACTCTTGGTCATATACCCAAGGAATGTTCAATCATACCACAAGGACACTTGCTCAAATATGTTCTCATTGTGCTACATTTCTTACTTATGATGTGATTTCTCCTGTGTGTGTATCACTATCTCTGTCTCCATCTCTCTGTCTCTCTGTATATATGTATGTATGTGATCTTTCATATATATATGTATATATATATATATGTATGTATGTATGTATATATGATCTTTCATGCTCTTCTCTAATTCATGGGATGTCTGTACTCAAGAATTTATTGAAAGACTGAGTCCAGTTACTGTCTGATAGATCTACCTTGAACTCCTCCAAAGCTATCTGGGCTAGGGCATTAAACCAGAATAAGCAAGCCATTTGCAGTCTATATATGCTAAGCTAACAATCACTAATTTCTGTGGGATGTTCTGTATGCTGTGAATGTGTTGCTCTGTTGGTTGGTAAAGAAAATGCTGTTTGGCCAGTAGCGAGGCAGCAAAGATAGGCAGGATACACAGACAAGGAGAATTCTCGGGAGAGAAAGGCTAAGCAGGGAGATGCAAGCCTGCTGTCCAGGGAGCAGCATGTAATGGCACTTAGGTAAAGCCAAGGAAAATGTCGCAACATATAGATGAACAGAAATGGGCTGAGTTTAAATGTAAGAGCTAGTCAGTGGTAGGCCTGAGCTAATGGCCAAGCAGTTTTAATTAATATAAACTTCTGAGTGATTATTTTATAAGAGGCTGCAAGGTCTGTGGGGCTGGGCAGGACCAGAGAAAACTTCAGCTACAACTAATACATGTTATTCTCTTTTACAATATCAACTATAAAAGTGCTCTCCTAATATTCAATATGTAAATTTTCCTACCTAAATGTTTTAGTAGTGGATAATCATCTATAATATTAATTTTTCAAATTTTATCCTTAGCATATAATTTTATTCCTTTATTTTATCATTATTATATACAACAGCTTTCTTCATGGAAGACCACTGTGAACTAAATTGAGGAATTTATTTGTTTGTCTATTTAGTCCTAGAGATTTAAATTAGGATCACACAAAAGTCTAGCTCATGAATTTTAGTACTGGGTTTCACACACACAAAAATAATTGCCCTAGATGCACCTAAAGCAAGTCTAGCTAAGTTTGCTTTCAATACCCAACCTTAGTGCATCATTATACCAAGTGGTTATGATTATAGCCCTGCACCACTAAAACTAGCTAAAGTGACCATTAAAAAGGTAAGCCATCAGATTCCATTGTAGCTATTATATGTTCATACCTCATCTGATTAGAATTCAGATGTCATTTTATAGGTTTTATAGATTTATTATAGTGGAGAACAATTGCAATAGCCTGGATTATCTGGGTGTTTCCGTATGGACCTTCTGACTAACAACTTGATTGGATGTAACCCATATATGGCAATAGAGATTTCATTTGTTGGCAAGAGGTGATTAGTTTTGGCTTTGTCTCCTTTGCTGTTTAGTGATTCCACTTAGATTTCTTTCACATGTGTATATTTTAAGATGCTTCTACTCTGCTAGTTTTCCATATGACCCCTCAAAAGTCTCTTAGTTTTAACTATCCATGTCTATATTCCCTCACTCCCCACACTCATTTGATCCTCCCATTCAGGTTCCCCACTTCTCCATGCATCTCTAACTGTATACTCTGTTTTCCATTTCTAGGAGCACTTTCCATTACCCTGTACCTTACTTTATATTTAACCTTCATGGTAATACTGATTGTAGCCTGCTTATTGTTTTATCTTTGGCACAGTGGCGGTGCCTTAATCTACTGCTATTTCAGCCAGTAACTGTGACTCTGCAGTTACCAACCTGCTTCTCTGGCAGCAGCCTGGCTGTTAAGCAACAGCCTGGCAGGACTTGTGTTCCTGCAGGTACTGGCTCTGCTGCTGCCAATAAATGTAGCTTTAACTAAATCTCTATTGGTCTGTTTATAAAGAAGAATCAAGATTCAAACATTGGGGTGAAAACCTGCTAGCTCAGAGAGGTTAGGTAGCACCTAGATAACCTCGCCTTTCTGGCATCTCCAAAAGAGAGTGTTTTTATGCTCCACCAAACAACAACAACAAAAAAAAAACCCATGCCACTCCAAATCCCTCCCTACTGATTCTGGTCATCTCTCTATCTCTTCCAGATGCTCTCCAGTGCTCTATGATTACTGTCAACTAGTTGCTAACTCAGCCTCCTGACCCAAAGTTAATTTTATTTAACTAACACAAATGCAAACTTGGGGTTCACTGTGTGATCAAATATCCCCCAACAGCTTATAAAAGACCTAACAGCTGACACTCACAATTAAACAGATACATATCATATTTGTCTTTTGGGGTCTAGCTTACCTCATTTAAGACATTTTTTTCTACCTCCATATATTTACCAGAAAATTTCATTTTTTGTATGTGAGTAATAACCCATTATATTAATGTAGCACATTTTCTTTATCCATTATCTATCCATACAATGATGGATAGATAGACTGTTTCCAATTTCTGGTTAATATGAATAGACTAACAGTAAACATGGTTGAACTTCTCTGAAGTAGGATACAGATCCTTTGGGTGTATGCCCCAAGATGCTATAGAGGGCTTCTGGCGTCAATCTATTCCCATCATCCTAAAGAATCATCACAATATTTTCCACTGTGGATGCACAGGTTTGTATCCCCACCAATAGTGAATAAGCGTTCCTCTTACTCCACATCCTGTCCAGATGAGCTGTCACTTGTTTTATACATCCTGGTCATTCTCTTTGCTTTAAGATGAAATTTCAAAGTAGTTTTGAGTAGCATTTTCCTAATCTCTAAGAATGTTGAAAGCTGGGTGGTGGTGGCACTCGCCTTTGATCCCAGCACTAGGGAAGCAGAGTTAGGTTGATCTCTGTGAGTTCAAGGCCAGCCTGGTCTACACAGTGAGATCCAGGACAGGGAAACATGTCTTGGAAAAAAACAAACAAAAAAAAATGTTGAACAGTCCTGTAATTATTACTAAGCCATTTGTGTTTCATCTTTTGAAATCTCTCTGCTTAGTTCTGTGTCTCTTTCTTTTTTTTTTTTACTTAGGTTATTTGTTTTATTGAAGTCCAGTTCTTTCTTTTTTTCCTCTCCTTCCTTCCTTCCTTCCTTCCTTCCTTCCTTCCTTCCTTCCTTCCTTCCTTCCTTCCTTCCTTCCT